GGGCGGCGCCCGCACCCGCATGTCTCGGGACACCTGAGCGCCGAGCAGCCTCCGCGCGGGGTGGAGAGCGCCGGTGCCCGGCCCGCGCCTCAGCCGCCGGCGCTCGCGTCCCGTCCCCTCCTTTTCCTCCGGGGGAGGAGGATGGGGCCGGACGCGCTTTCCCCGAGGATGCTCCTGGGGCTGGTGGCCTTGGGGCTGCTGTTCTGCGCGGAGCCGTGCGTCTCCGCTGGCCTCGATTATGACTACACTCTCGATGGGAACGAAGAGGACAGGACGGAGACCATCGATTACAAAGACCCGTGCAAAGCCGGTAAGTCCTCTCCAAGTTGCGAGCGTGGCGCGGCGCGGCCCGCGGCGCCCGGCGTCCGTTGGGCGGCGGTGGGAGCTCACCTGTTTCCTGGCCGCCCTCGCCGGCCCTCCTCGCTCCGCTCCTTCGCCCCTCCGCTTCTCCCCCTGCCGTTCCTGCCGCTTCCCACCCCCGAGCGGCGGCGCCGCGCCGAGCGCCGCGCGGACTGGAGTTCCGTGCCGTGGCACCGGTTCCAAGCGCCCGTCCTCCAGCTGGAGTGAACCGTCCTGGAGTTTCTACCCCTCCTCCCCCAGCGAAACGGAACAAGTCGCAGATCCCGCAGGCTGCGGGGGTTTTAAATACCCACACTCAGCTGGCTCTACGCATTCCGCGGGGACACCGCCTCCTCGGTTCCAGGGCGCGGTTCCCCTGCGTTCCTCCGAGACCGTGGGGGCGAGGTTCCCCCAAAGCTGGGTGGGGATGGCATCGCCACCTCGGGACACCTTGGCTCCTGTTTTGCCGGGAATTTCAAGAATACGTTCCAGGCTAGATGGGCATTTTGACCACCAGGGAAGAACTCGTTTCTAAAGGGGATTCCAACGCGTTTGCTCAAAAACATGTTTTCCCAAGTTGCTACCCCAGCCAAACTTGAGTCTTCCTTCCTGTGAACACCCGGGGAACCCCAGCCGACCCACACCGCCCGGGGCCAGGGCTGCACTCCCGGCGGAGACGCGCGGTCTCTGCCCTCCCTTCCCTCGGTGGCGCCTCCGCGGGTCCCGCCTCCGCCGGGCGGGGCTCCCTCCGGCCGCCCGAGGTCGGAGCCCCGAGCGCAGCGCGGGCACCACGTGAGCGCCGCTGTCTTCGGGTCCCCGGCTCTACGCGCGGGGGCTCCCAGCTCTGGCCTCTGCCGGGTAGTGATCGGGGTGACCCTCAGCTCAGGGAGGACTCACAATTAACTCTGCCAAGGCTGTGAGGTTTGTGGAACGCGCCCTGGGTAGAGCCCTGTGTATGCTGTCCCAGTGCAGGAGCTCGGGAGGGTGAAGCAGGGGTGGGCGCAGGCTCAGCTGCCCGCACCGCTCTGGATTCCGTGCGCGCTCAGAACTGCGAGGTAAACCCTATTCTCCTTCTTTGCGCCGGAAGGAAGGAGACATGTACACCAGTGAAGAAGATGCTGGAAATTCCCTAGTTAATTTCTACCTTCGATGACGCACTAGCCCGAGGAGGAGGAGGGTGTGTGCATGGGGTTCAGTTTGTGAGATCTTTTTGCTGTCTGGAGGAGCACCCCAATACAGATGCTTATTCCCAATTCAGAGTGTTTGAGGGAACCTGGTGTCTCTGGAACTCAGCACCCTTACTTAATTCAGTTTTGTTTACAAGTGCGCTTCTATCACCTTTAACACTGAACCCAACCCCAAGTTTCTAAGGTCTTGTTTGATGGCCCGGACGAGGAGACACTGCCTGGCTACAGTGCATGACCAGCCTGGGCGGTGCCTTAAATGTATTTTTCTGTAGGGCCTAGGTTTTGAGTCATAATTGCGATTTGATGAAAATTGTAGTTTTATTTATTTAATTAATTGTATATAGTTGATAGGATTGTTTGGGAAGGCATCTATTCTGATGCTTTCGTGTGTGAACGGTTCAACAGGAGATCACTACAAGGTAGTCACCGTGTGTATGTCAACACACCTCAAATATAGATGTTCATTTTCCTCAGCAAATAAAAGTCTAAGCAAAGGGGAAAATTTCGGTAGTGTTCGGTTTCTTTTTCCTCTTTGATACTGGTACATTTTTGGACATAGCTACTGGAATTAAGACGAGAGGAACAAGAAGTTTGAATGGATCACCACACTTCTTCCTTATTTGTAAGTAAAAGAGGAATCATGCCTGCGTCTAATTGTGTGTATGGTGAGAGAGAAAATAAGAGTGGTCCAAGTGAAAGGCTGAGAAGTATGCACAGAATCCGAGGTCCCCTTTTTAATGAGCCACTCTGCTTTTTAAATGCAGTCAAATGAAAAGCTGTCATCTGCCATCTTGGCTACAGAGTGGGCAGATCACAGTGCCTCCCTTTTGGCACTGTATAAGACAAAAGTTGTAATAACAGGAACAGCATTAATACATTGAAATCTCCAACAAGAGCCAGAAGAAGGTCACTGAAATGGGAAAGGGCAGGAAGGTTTGTGAAGGTGAAGCAAAAGAGGAAGGGAGGTGCTTTGCACGTGCTTGCCCACCTCTGATCCGCCCCTCTCAGGTAAGTAGCAGATTTCAAGCCTTGGCCCATCCAATAAAGGGCCCTTTCTGGCCTTCTCTAAAAAAGGGATCCAAGGTTCCTTAAATTTTGCACAGGCTGGATGTCAGAGTGATGAACATGACTTTATGGTTTCTAAGCATTTTTTAAATTAATTAAGTTTATTAATTAACTTACTTTTGATATCTATAATGATCACATCAGAGGGAATTTGTATCTGTACATGATATATCTTGATTTTTATTTTTTCCCATTCCCCTCCACTCCCCTCAACATCTTTCCCTCCTTATTTACAAAAGCATTCTTTCCAGTTTTCCTTCTTTTCTCGTTTTTTGTTTTCCTTTCTTTCCTTTCCCCTTCTCCCTCCCTAGTTTCCCTTCCCATTTGAACACTCCTATTTCACAGTATCTATTCTACATTTTGGTCTTTATTTACACTTTCAGTTTCTCACAACAGAAAAATGATGCAATATTTACATATATGTTCTGATTTATTTCTCTTAAAAGTGTGGTCTCAAGGTGCATCTATTTACCTAGAAATGTCTCAGGCTTATCCTTCTTTATGGCTAAGTAGTACTCCACTGTATAAAAAAATCACATCTTTACCCATTCATTTGTTGGTGGGGATTTGGGCCATATCCAAGAGTTAGCTTTTACAAACTGTGTTGCTATAAACATGGGTATGTATATATTGCTGTGGAATGATGCATTTTATTCTTTTGGGAAGATCCAAGAACAGGAATAGCTGGGTCCAATAGAACCTTTAGTATTTTGAGGAATCTCCACTCTGATTTCCACAGTGGTTGAACCAATCTACACTCATTTTATTAAAAGACTTTTGTATAAGGAAAGAAATCACCAACAGAGTGAAGAGACAATCCACAGAATAGGAAAAAATTTTTGCCATGTTTTCCTCAGACAAAGGACTAATATCAATGTGAGCAGAGATTCTTTTTGGTCTTTTTTTCCCCAAAGTTTTAGTACCACCAATCAAATTCAGGGCCTTGCGCTTACCAGGCAGGCGCTGAACCGCAGAGCTACATCCCTGGCACAAATGACTAATATATAGACTATATAAAGAACTCAAAAAATGAGACCCTCTCAAATTAAAAAATCCAATATGAAAATGGGCATCTGAAATGAATACACACTTCTCAGATTAAAAAGTGCAATCAGCAAATAAATATATGAAAAAAAGTTCAACATACTGGTCATTTGAGAGATTCGAATTAAAACAACTCTGACATTTCATCTCACCCCAGAAAGAATGGCTAGTATCACAAAATCAACCAATAACAAATGCTGGCAAGGCTGTGGGGAAAAAGGAACCCTTCTCAAAGCATTTTTGAGTATATTATTCTGGCTGATGCTCACAGTAGCCCCACAAGGTAGTATTTGTTAATCTTCCTGTTACACAGTGTTGCTGAGTGAGTTTAAATGCCTTTGTAAAGACTACTTGGGACATAAGTCCAGGTCTCCTGGTGGTAAATTGTGGCTGTATTAAGGATTACATTACATTCATTCTTAGCTGACTATTTGGAAGATTTCCTTTAACTTAAATTATTCCAGGGAGTCCTGAATAATAAGAGATGCAGTTACTTTTATATCTGATTTGGCTGAAGTGAATAAGAACACACTTTCATATTTTCAAAGCCCAAATTTTTGTGGGCAGGCATCACAACTGGTTTTTAATGTTTATCACAGGCATGGATTACTAGATCATCATTAGGAATGTCAGTACCTTCTCAATATCTACAGTCTGTTAGCAAAGACTGTTGTGGAACCATCTAAAACTTATATTCCAAACGAGATCAAATACATGGTACCCAAGGAGAAATAATCTCAATTATAATATGCTTAAAATTGCAGTATCCCTAGTATATTTGTGAGGTAGAATGTGATTGGACACCCATCAGAATTCTGATTGTAAGTTCATGAAGCTACAGAAGGGAAGTCTTATGTTAATTTGATTGGCTTTTGACTTAGACGTTTTAGTATAAGTCAAAGCTGGTCATTTAATCTGACATTGCTTCATTTATATTAATATAAGCAAATCCACTAGGGTACAATATAGGTACTTTGTTTGGTGTAAATACACATGCACAAAGATGTAAATTATTGGATGTGGTTTTCTTCAGGGCAGTACATGGTTATTTAAATAGTTATGCAATCAGAGTTCTTTTACTCTCTTGAGTTCAAAAGACTCCTAGGGGACCCTGGGAAACTGATGCTGCAGGAGCTCATCTTAGATCAGGGGCTGAGGTATCCTGTTTCATTGTGGTACTACATCAGTAAGCGTTAATCTGAGGATTAATGTCTGTGAAGAGTCTAGGCAAATTCAGGTTACAAATTAATCTTCCAGATTCATGTAGAGATTACCCAGCGAAGCAGAGATCTGATGAAGTAACTACATTAATGTACATCCACCTTCCTTCCCTTTCTCCCTGCCCTCCCTCCCTGTGTCCTGTTCTCTTTTCTTTTTGTGTAAAGGGATATTGGGAAGCTCAGGTAACTAAAACTATAACATTCAGTAGGGGAGATTGACTAAATTAATATTTTTGATGATGAGTAGAGGCTTAGACGATAGATGAAGCAAAATGTCCAGAAGGGTACCCTGCTTCTCTGTAGATATCTGTGAGCACTGTGAAAAAAGAGGGCTTTCTACCTCGAAGATCCGGAGTAAATGATTTTTTTTTCCTTGGAAAGTATCCAAGCATGATTAAAGGTCAGCAAAGGCAGGGTTGAATTTGCCTTTTGAGGAGCATCTGTGAGCTTGTTTA